GTGCATTATTAAGCTACTATTTAGAAACAAGTTTCAAAAATACGCTAAAAACTTGAGAATATTTTTGTGCAGTTCAAAGTCGGTATCAAAACATAATATTTTGAGGTACGAAATACGCAAAAAAATGTGAAAACAGATAAAGGAACGTCTTCCAAAATAAACAGCATAACAAAAAGTTGTTCTCGTAAAAATATTTATGAACAGTTTTTGTCGTTCCTTTACTTTCTCCATTTTATTATCGCAATTGTATTTTCAGGATTCCTTTTCAGCTTGTTGCGCACTTTTTTTTTTGAGTAAATCAACAAATATAAAATACTTCGTGCATGTATGCTTTAAGCTCTATTTTATAGACTCTGATTTAATTTCCACAGATTCTCAAACTTTCTAAGCACTTTTTTGAAATGATTGAATTTTTTGACATTCATCGTTGCCTTCACAACCGCATTATTTGATAGTTGAGAAACTTACTGTGGCATCGAGCTGAAAGGGATGTTTAAATTAAATGAAAATATCTGAAAGGAGCAAAAGAGTGAAAATCAAATTAATGGATTGCCTTTCATGCAAATTAATATATTTCTCATTTATTTAATGGATAGCTTTTAATTAATTTAATTGAACTTTTCATTCATCTTGGATCAAAGAATTTAAAAAGTTTTACAGGTTTTGAGGAGATGAGGAAAAAAAAGGGAAAGGTTGACAATCTAGATCAGTGTTGTACAAACTTTTTTGAGCTACTGCACACCTGAGGGATAAGTCATTACCAAAGTCGCACACAGCATGCGGATCGCATCATTTACAAAAAAAAAATCTATGTGACCCCAGAGTTCCGTGGCACACAGTTTGGACAACACTGATAGATTCACAGTTCAACTAAGTCAAACCTTGATTTGTATTTTCTATCCTGACTAAGAATCAAACTCTAAAATATTAAAACATTAAAATGCATTCAAAAAAGCTTTAAATTCTCTTCAAATTTTGCTAATCCAATAAATTCAATGCCCAACCTTAAATACCATCATGTTTATCGAAACAGCACCTTCTAAAATGTAAACAAAATTCCAACTCCTCCAATCTAATCGATTATGATCATCCACTCAAGTGAAACAAGCTTTAAAGCTTTCAATTTATTTCCGTTCATCCAATACTGAGCTAATATTTTATTCAGCATTTAAATAAATAAATTTGTATTGAGATTCCGTACCCAATTGTTGCTTCGTCAACGAGCATTTCGTTTTGTAAAAATGAAGTTTGTTTATTTTTGTTGGGGGATTGTTTGACTATGATGTCTGGCATTGAGGAGATTTTGAAGTCAATGACTGATTTTTAACTGCTACACTAGTCGGAGTCAAACTTTATTTGAATACTAAAGTTAAGTTGTTCAATTTTAGATTCTAGGAAACCTTGAAAAGTCCTAGAAATCAACCTTACAATTATGCGACTATACAAACTAGTAGAAACAACATGACAGGAAGTTAAGAGAGTCCAAAACAGAATTTTTGATGAACATCAACTACAAATGAACCATCAAATGTCTGTCGTCTTCTTTTATTAAATTTAACAAGTCAAAAGTCTTGATTGCATGACTTTATTTTGAACTTTCTTGTTTTTCTCCTTCTTGTTATTGTGCGAATGAGATGTTTTGAAGTCAATCATCAAGTATACAAGGTAAACATGTGATTAAAATTGTAAGACTTTATGGCTGATGTGTTTTCCTTAATTGAAATTATGTTGAGATTGTTTTTGTGATTTAAGATGCTAATTAGATTCAATTGATTTAATAAAATTCTTGAATATGAGATGGGTGTGGGAGAAAAGGTAAGGATCTGTGAGGATAATGATGCTGAGGTAAGAATTTTTGCACTCATTAACCTCGTGGATAAAATAAGAAAAATTATTGAAGGATTTTTGAAAAGATTTTATGCTTACCTTAATGATTTTATGGGTGAAGAAAACATTGAATTCAATGAATGAAACTCATTTAAAATAAAGTAAGTACTCTAATTAATTTTAGATTAGATTGAAGAATTTTCAACACATTTTAATTGGAATGAGGAGAGAAGAAATGATAAATAATTCAGAAATTTTGTAAAACAATTCCAGGTGATCCATTTAATTATTTTAATGAGTTCTGGACTTGATTCAATTTATTAAAAATTCATTAAAATCACAAAGGGCCGTTCACTTATGACATCTAGAGGGGGGGGGGGGGGGATCAGCAAGAAAAAAACAATAGAAATTCCTGGAATATTATGGTTCTTTTTTAAAAAATTACCATTAAGGGCCGTTCAATTATGACGTTCGAAATTAAGGGTCATTTTTCAAAAACAAACAATGGATTTCCAGGAATTTCTATTGTTATTTTCTGCCTGATCCCCCCCCCCCCCCCCTCCTGGACGTCATAAGTAAATGACCCCCAAGAAGTATCTCTGTAAACATTTCACAAGAACAAAATAAATATAAAATCTGAATTCTCAAAATTTTAAACATCATAAAAACTCGTGAATTGACGAAACTTATCTTGTGAATTTTTTTATGGCTTTTTTTACGAAATTTGCACACATTTACGCAAATATTTACACTGATAAGTTTATAATGACTTTTTACAAAGAATCTTTTAGTTATTTCTCTCAGTCTGGTCAACAGAGTCTGTAAAATAACAAGTGAAAATTTAATTAAATATTCAAATTAAGAATTTCAATTATTTCAGCTTCAAACGGATTTAATTATGCTGAAAATAGGATTGTGAGTATAGTTGTTCATGGCATGAATGAAACCCACTTTTTAAGTGCCTCTTTAATATTTAAATTTTTTTCATTACAGTCTAGTATCCACAACTCTCCTTCACATGTCCTACGCTTTAATTCCATTGGACATCAATTGCAATTATTACACAACCAAATTCAACATTCTTGGCAACATTTACCACTGTGAAGTCACAAATGTTCTCAACATAACATCACCTTTAGATGCTACAATCACATCAATGAATGGAAGTCACGAGCTTGATAAAACCAATAATGATGTCATTGGATTTAAAGTTGATGGAAAAGGAACTGAATACTTTCCGCAATATTTACAGGAATTCTTTCCAAATCTTAAGCTCATCATGATTGAAAATGGAAGAATTAAAGAAATCCATCAATCGGATTTGAAGCCATTTCCTGAATTAGTATCTCTGGATTTATGGGAAAATGACATTGAAGTTCTAGATGAAGGACTCTTTGACTTCAACCCAAAACTTGCTGGCTTCTGGATTTTCCACAACAAAATTTTCCATGTCGATTATCAAGTTTTTGACAATTTAAGTAAATTAATTTACATCGACATGTTCATGAATGTATGCATAGATAAAATGGGTTCATATAGCAAATCTGCTGTGCAACAGGTTGTTGACTATGCAAAAATGTATTGTCAGGATAAGGAGTACATGAGAATTACTGGGGAATTAAGTGCACTCGAACATGAAGTAACAGTTTTAAGCACTAAAATTCAAAGGTTTTTGAATGATAATATGAGGTTGGCAAGGTCTGTTAGTATTGTTGAGAGGTTGAATAAATTGAGGAAGTATGTGCAGGAATGAGAAAAAGCCTGGAAATGCATCATGTCCTTTATAGTTTGTGAATTAAAGTGTAAAATCAATTTTTTTCGAAAATAAATTTTGAAAAAAAAAAATTAAAACAAAATCATTTTCAAGATATTTTTAACATCTATTGACATCTAAAGTCGGTTTTCTAGAAAATCATGGAAAGCCCTAATCAGTGGGGATATAATTTCCCTTTTGACAATTTCTGACTGTTCATTTTCCTTTAGTATGAGTAGGATTTGGCACTAGTATGACTATATTCACTAATTCGTTTAAGATATACCCGAAAACTAGTCTCTAGCATGTCAAGTGATCTAGGAGATATCTATGACTGAGTATCAATCATCAAGTGCCACAAACGTGTTAAAACTATTCATTCTTTCATACCAAAACTATCTTCAATTTTCAAAATCATTATTTTTGTATTTAAAAGTCTACTCAAACCATCAGAATTCATTAAACACGACAACATCGCGTGCAGCGTTAAATCTTTTATCAGCCTATATAAGCCTCACTCAAGGAATTTATTAACATTGACACGAATAAATTGGAAATTAATTTATTAACTCAATCAATTCATCAGCCAGCCGTATCAATCAATCTCAATCAATAAATTGGGAAATAATTTAAAAAGTAAACACGGATTCCCTATACAATTATCGGATATAAATGATCACATAGATTCTCAAAATGTTTACATATCCGTAAGTTCAAACTTAATAATTCTGTTTGCTGTGTAACGAAACAAATAAAAATATTCAAAAAGCGTCCACGAACGCAACAGTTTGTTAAAAATGTTCTTAGTATACATCAACAAATGAACGATAGAATCATGTCCTAATTGACCAGATGAATAAGATGGAGTGAGTTGGGTGGCAAATATCGATAGATTCGTTAAGAATGACTATTTAAAACTTTTTTTTATGTCTTTTAGACGAGTATAGTCAAGACACAAACCAATCTCGTGTTCGACTTTCAATGCGCATGCTACAATTTTATTGCCAGATATGAGCTTTCTTCATAAAAAATGTAGCGACAATGCTTTTAAGGATACGACAGTGTAAAGATAGAAAATTTTTATTATTCTGTTGCTTGTTACATGAATTATTAACACAGCCACGAGTAATTCCCAGTAATTTATTGCCAGATACACACTTTCATTAAGATTCATCCGTAACACAGTGCAATAATATCATGAATAAAACATCTCTGACAACTCTGTAAAAATATATATTTTTGTTTTCATCACACGAAACGAGTAGAACGAGTAAGAGTAGGAACAGAGAAATCGTCTAAAATCCTTGTTATTTTCATTCCTCATCAACTTTTTTTTTTCGGATGATATCAAATAATATTATATACAGTAAGAATTTCAATCGTGAAGGATTAAAAACTGAGTAAAAGTAAATATTTTTTTAAGAATTAGTTCGGTGCGATGCTTAATTTGTGAATTAAGAGGAGTGATTAAATAAATTATTAGTTAACAATAAACATTAGCGTGATTTATTGTCATATTTTTTCTTTTTCTGAGAGAAAAAGAGAGAAAGAAGTGAAGTCGAGTGGAAGTGAAATAACTTCAAGAACTGTTGTTGTTGTTGCATCTGTGTTTTTATAAAAGTCTACACTCATTCCTAGCTCTTAAATGTCTAAAACAAATCTTATTCATTCAACTTTTTATTTTTAAATAGAACATGGTAAGTCCCCAGTTCCTTCCAATTTCTCCCAACATTTTTTTTTCATTCTCTTCCCATACTGTGTGTGCTTTTTATATTTTTGTGTGTGCATAGTTTCAAGGATTCCAAGGATTCCTCTTATTGGTGTCACGCGCGCATACAATTCAACTCTATAATGACAATCTAGTTCTGTCTAAGCTCAATTGCTTTAGGTTATGTATAGGAAATAAAAGGAGAGAGCCTTTCACTTTGTGCATATAAAAAAGAAGTAATAAGTGATGTGTAGATTTCATTCATTACTGTCATAGGAAAGACTTTTTTGTACTAAAGAATGTCGGTCAGAGGATTAAAGTGTGTTTGTTTGGCTGAGTGTCCATTTGGATTATGAATGGATTAAGTATCATTTTGTTCTGATTGAAATATTTTTGTATATTTTCTGATTACTACAGTTCTTCTTATCTCAATCAATGGAGGATTTAATGGATACTTCCTGTGCTGTAACTTGAAGGCTTAAGGATATGTGCAAATGAAATGTACGAATTGTTTTCTAGATCTGAGAACAAATTGGAAAACTTTTTTGTATGATTTACAAATTTGTGGTAGTAAAAGTAGTTGTAGCCTGGATTGAGACTAAGGATTTATGTTTTATGTCTTATGAGTTCTGTTGTTACTTGAAAACACTTAATTACTTTGCGTAGGGTTTGTGTGGAGTGAATGAAATATAGCCTTAACATCTGATAAGAAACTTGAGATGTTGAATTAATGACTTTATTTTTAAATTGTATGGTATTTCACAATTTGTAGGTATACAAGGATGCTATAGAAAATGATAAAAGGCGTTAAAAGTATGTGAATCTATTTATAATTCAATGGAGAATTCTTGCTCATTAAATATGAAGTTGTTATTGACAAACAACTGCTTAGGAAGATGAATGAATGGTTGGATTTGTAGATATGGCTCGAAAGGCATATCTGTAGTAGATAGGCCTGAGCATAGGGCTTGCGATGAACTGGTTGCATGTGTATGACGGATAGCCGAAGTGAGATAAGTACCTCGGTGGTCGAATGGCAGGGATCTCTAATCGATTGGTCAGAGATTGCCTTTTGAGGTCGTGGGTTTGATTCTCATCGAACCTGACTTGTTTTACATTAGTATACACACATGGGAATTATAGGTAGATCTACAGGATTGGTATAATGACTAAGTCTGCATTATCTATTGATGTAGGAAGGTTTATTACCATGTGGAATCTCATTTATTTAGTGGTGAAGTCAAGGTTTCCAAATTTTACAGATTTTAAATTAAGTATTTGGTTGGGAACCCAAAGCTAACATCTTTCCATTCCATAAAATACAACATATCCTTCAACTTTATTTCCTTACATTGAATTCATGCAAACTTTCATTTTTCAGCATCTCAAATCTACAGTACCCTATTAAAATCATTCCTGCCAAGCATATTAAAATTTGCTGAACTGTACTTGTTCTGCAATTTAAGTAAACAACATATTCCTAGAATGTTGAACGTTTTGTTGGACATTTGTTGTTGATTTTTTCAATATTTTGCTTAAATACTTCAAAACAAGCTTTCTATCATTCAATTTCTTTGACATTCTCGACATCAATAGTAAATAAGCAAATATCCCATCGAGTTTCTAAATATAAAATTTGATCATTTGACTATAGAAAGTTGCCCGGAACTCACAAAATATTATTTACTAAATTCGAGCACGCAATTTCGTAAAAAGAAATTTTCTCACTATAACTGAATGGATTAGTTTATTGACCAGGCTTTCAAAGACGTATTAGGAGAGGCTATTGCAAATAATATGAAGGACAGATACGAATATTGATACGCAATAAAAATAAATGAAGCACAAATGTTATTGCTGAAACTTTTATGATTGCTTATAATACACCTTAGTGATAGTTTCGAGAAAATTGGATTAGGGGAACCTTGACCTTTGAATCATGTCCGGTATTTAATATTAGAATTGGAATGTTCAGATCATTGCGCTTTACAGCTTCATTCCTTTGCAAATTCCTTACAATTTTAATAACAATTTTTTTGTTCATTTTTTTAAATTGCTTTTGAATAAAATATTAAAAAAAAATGTCTTTTCAAAAGACTCTCAATGATTATGAAGCTGCTGACATATTTAATGATGACAACGGTCTAGTGCTGGGAACGATAATGATGATGGTATGTGAGAAATAAAGATTGGGGTTAGAAGTCGTGTAAATGACGAACATATACATCCATTCATGTATAAAATGTGAAGCAAATGCATTTAGAATGAAATATAAAATAAAATAAAAAGGAGAAGGATGTTGTGTATGGATTGAATCTACGACATAAATGACAAACTAGTAAATGCCTGTGTCATGTCTGTATGTTCGTTTACATTATGAGCATTGATTTTTTTTTATCAACAATAAATAAAAATGGATATTGTGAATGGATGGAAAGGATAAGGAGACAAGAAATATGAAAAAGGAATGTTCCATATTACTTGATTACTATTTATTGACAATTGATTAGATTATTGATCTCTATAATCCATTGAGGATTATTTTGTGAACAAAAAAAAAATATTAAAGATGGGAATGAAATGAGGAAAAAAGGGTACATGCGATTACATATGGTTTCAATTTATTACTTCCTAACCTTTTTTGTGTATATCGGGTACATAATTTAATAAGAAGCAAATGATGATAAGTTAAAGTCAGACATGTTTAGATTGAAATATTGATAATGTATGTAATAATATGGCTCATATAACATTAGTCAATTACCGACTGTAAATAATTCATTGACGTGGGATGTAACTTACATTTATAGTTTATTGCTGTCAATTATTTAGTTTAGATCACACTGTGTGATTTTACCACCGAAAAATATATTAGGTATGGAATTATTTTATTAATGGAATCATGGTCTTGTCAGCAGGGGTTAGGAATTAGGTCAAATTTATGTTTACACACTGTTGAGTGATAGGCTGCTGGTTTTTTGGTATTTCTGGATGGATTGTTTGTTTGCGTAAATGCTGTTTGAATGACATTTTAGGAGTTGCATGTGTGTTTTGGATGTGAGCATAACAATCATCCCCTAAAATCAAAATCAATGCTAATAAGCACTGCATTTGGATATAAGTTAATTATTTAAAGCTATATGTGGTGTCAATCAAGCTTTGCTTGCTAATTTGATATAGAATACTGAATATTGCAGAATAAGTTTTAGTTCATGCCATTCACTTACTAAAGGATCAATAATCTACATCATAACTCACAAGTTGACTGTATTTACATCTATTCCGGGAATCATTACCTTAAAAATGTATCGTCATCAACAAGCTCACATTTTAAATCATTAAATAAATTCGTGAATGATGGAATCATCCATAATTGACGTCCACTTATAAACTAAAGTGTCGCTCAACAGGGTTGATCAACGTTGTCATGTATAAATTCCCATTACGTCTTGTAAACTATGAATGACGTCATATATGAACAACCCCTCCGAAAAAACTTTCTCAAAATTACTAAGTTTGTAAAACTTTTCACTAAAGCATAAAGGAGCTTCTTCAAGACAGGTTATTTCCCTTCTCAAATAATATATATCTGATGGGATTCTTTTTTCGTGCTCTCGTTACTCTACTGCAAATTTACGATAAGATGCGAAGAATATTCGCACATTTTTGCTTGCTCTTTACGACGCCTCCATATTGAGATGAGCTTTTTGAGATCGTTATTTAAATTATGAGCTTATATGATGTTGGTTTTGATGTCTTTATTTCCTTACTGGCATGTGTATTTTATTTTGTTACTTTATTTTGTTTTATGCTGGATTTTTTTGGGTTTTTTGGGCTGCTTGGCGTTTTTTAAGTTGCTTTAAATTATGAATTTGAGATTTTTGACGCAATTTTCAGTTTCATTCAGAGCTAGAACTAGTTGACTCGAGATTTTCATCGATTTTGTGTGGCGAAGTCGACTCGACTCCATACAAAATTTCATTGATATTCCTGGAAACATCCTTAATCGATACTAAATACTATTCTATGCGTTTTGAAGGAGTTGTCTAAACTTCAACTTCCTCGTGCCAACTCAAAGGTTCCAACAAAAAAAAATCCAACAAATGCTAAGGGGTCGTTCACTTATGACGTCCATCAAAAAACCTGATTTTTAGACCCCCCTCCCCCCTCTGTCACAAAAATTCTATAGAAAAAAATTTCCATTGTTTGAACTGTCACAAAATCCTAGACCCTTCTCCCCCCTAAGTGTCGGACGTCATAAGTGAACGGCCCCTATTTCAATCTACAAATCTTATAATGCAGCACATCCAAAATAAAAATTTGCTGATAAAAATGCAATAAGAGGTTGAGATTGAAATAAATTGGAATGTATGAGAAAAAGATTTGAAACTTAAAAGTTTTACTTCAACAGTCTGCAAACAGTATTGAGGATTAACTGCATCAAGAAAGTTTTTTAATCCTATATATGTACCTGAAATATGCTGAGTATCTCAAACATTGAAAAAAGTCTCTCAAGTTTTCAGTTCTCAACTTCCTTTCAGTTTCGAAAAAAGAATTTTGAAATCAAACTCACACTGATTAACATAAAGTTTTAAGTTCATTTCCCAGCTCAATAAACCCAAAATTATGGCAGTAATCAAAATTTTCTCCTCCTCGTTAAGAGACATAAACTTTGTTTGAAAAGAAAATTAATTTCTAATTGAAGAAAAGAAAAGAAAAAAATTTTCCAAAGAAAAAGCTCTGCATGAAGTTTTCTTTTAAATTCTTCTGGCAAGGTCAGGCATGTGACAGTTACAGAAACTTATCATTCATAATTATTTATTTAAAAACTCAAAAGTTTTTCCTATAAAAGTCTTTAACAAACTAGTTTCCATCTCGTCATAACAAGTTTATGGAAACTACATAACGTGGCTAGTTTGCACAGAATGATGATCGAACTATGAGTTTGTTTGATGTAAGAAGAGGATTGGAAAATATGTTTACAAGGAAACAACTTTAGTTTCATCATTTATTAAATCTGTGCTTTATCCATATTCCTCTCATTCTGCATTTATCTATGGCTAAAATGGATTCGGATGAAAGACATTGTGTGCAAGGAGCTCTTCTACTTTTCATCGGAAAAAGGATATAGTATGATGTATAAATAAATAAATACAGTATTGCATGAAGGATAACTGAGAATGAGGGTGAAAATTTCTGCAGAGACGATTTAAACTGGTATCAAGGCGTGGAAACTATCCCAAATATTCCATTTATCGCAAGTATCTCAAAATAATCCCCGAGCTTGTATTCACAGGCTTTTAATGCAAATTAAGGATATTTAGGACAGTTTCCACGCCTTGACTGGTATGGATGTGATCTGGTTTGAAGCTATTAGTGGCGCAGTCTAACCTCAAAAATTAACATGCACAAGACTAGCTCTGTGAGCTCTGTTAAACCAACTTACGCATAAATTGGACATCCGAGGAGAGAGAAGGAAAGCCTCACAAGTTTCCAAATCGTTTCAGTAAGATGAACAGAAAGACAGACACGTGGATGTTAGAGCACTCTTACAGACAAAAAAGCAACAACATTGCTATTCCTTTTAGAAAACTGCAAAAGAAGCATTGACGATTTAAAGGATAAAGCTTTTAAAGAAGGGAAACTCAAAGCGCATTTTTCAGTTGATGGAAAAGGATGATAATTCCATCAATTCAGGGTCAAAGATTGAACAGCATTCTCTTAAAAGGGATGAATATCTTTCTAAAGATCTTTCAAACTTCCAATAAAATCAATACTTTTGAAGAATCTTAAAAAAAGATGCAATGGAATCCCTGAGAATTTGAGAATCGTAAATTTTTAAAGCACGAAACATCAATTCATTTTTGGGTATCTTAATTAACACCAATCTGAGTATCACCCATCCAATCTAACCGACAAAAAATGTTCTCATTCATTTTCTCCTTATTTTTTATGCAAGTTCCATCCAAAAACTTTGTCATGAAAATCAGAAATGTAATGAGAAGCAAGCATGGAAATGATTTTAAACTCTTATGAAATTTAAATGAGATCTTAATTCAATGCACGTGGAGTGTGAGAAAGGTAATTTGTACCGAAAAAAGGAGGGAATCTCATCACACTTCTATATTTTCATGGTACTAATGTGTTCACGACATAAGTACTTTACTGCTTTTTTGAAATGAATGTAAGAAAAGAAAAGAAATGAAAATGTCGTGTGTAAATTTTTATGTGTATTCACAAAGCCAATTAAAATATGCTCGTATGGAAGTTAATGTTAAATGACTCTAATTAGACACACAACCTAACTCCCATAATGGATTGGCTTGTGTGTGTGTGTGTATGAGTTTGTAATTGATGTAGTTTTGTGGAACTTTAAGGTTTGTATAGATGTTGCTGTAAATGTTGCTTTTTTAGAAGATATTAAGGTGATTTGTAGCTCTACCTTTCCTAAATTGTCTGAAATTTGATAGAAAAACAAACAGACATTCTATCAGACGAAACCAATCCAGTTGAATGTCAATTTCCTCAAATTTCCCAATCGTATCAAGAACATGGAATAATAACATCCACCAAATCCATCTAAAATTGCCTGCGAGACGTGACACAATTCATAAACACCTCCTCCTTTTCAGTATTTACTCATTTATGTATGTATTCACATTGAAACATTTCTACTGCTTATAATAAATGAAACATGCACGCAAAAGTGAAACGCTTATAACAATGCGAGGCTTTATCACTGATTATATTGTATTTTTGTTCCATATTTTGGATTGTGCGAAATGATTCAACGCTTCTACAACGAACGAACGAACGGAATAAGGCATGAATAGGACAATACTTTTATTTTATGATTATTATTTCGGGTAGAGGAAAAATATAATTTTTTGTGCAATTTACTTTGAGCTTGAAAAGCGAAAGAAACGGAAGTTTTTGATATTCATAAAAGGTATGCAAAGAGTTACTTATCGCTATAGCTACCGACATTATTATTATCATCATCATAAGAGTTGATAAGGAAAACGAATCTGACTTGAAAGCTTGAGTGAAAATGAGTAAAAATTAAAATAAATGTGCATGAAATTAAAACAATTATGAGAAAAGAAAATAATGAGCAACAATTAGCAACAAATGAGTGGAGATGAGCAGACAAAAGTCAGTGTTTGAGTTGTGAATGAAAATAAAAATGGAAAAATTTAAATATTAACAAGAAACATGAGTAAGGCATGCCAAGAAAGAACGGTAGAAAAAATTGCCAATCCTAGTGAATTTTTTATTTCGCAATTTTGGTAATAAAGCTGTTGTTTTTACGGCTTTGCTGACTCGATTGTGATATTTTATGAAATTGAGTGATATTTAAGTCAGCAAAAATCGTTTTCAATTTGTTAAAACGCTCATTTTCATTGTGAAATTCTAATTACTTTCGTGACTAAAAGGCGGTTTTGTTCTTCATGAATTTTAATTTTAGAAAAAGGAATGTCTTTAGCGATTTGAGGCAACAATTAGCTGATGGATGAGGATTAAAAAGATAAAATAAAAGTTATTTTGATATTGGAAATTTTAAGACACCTGTTGGGAGGGTTTTTTTTTATATTGTGGCTTGAAATCTTTGAAAACTTTAAAGTTTGTGTAGAATAAGTGATTTTTTGTGGATCTAAAAGAAGATACAGAGTTGGTTTTAGATATCCAAACTATAGCTTTTTACATCTTTTTAATTATTGATAACAATCGGAAGTCCAAAGCTACTTTAGTCAATCAACAGTCTAATACCTTGTTACACTTCTGGACTTAATAATAATAATAATGTGTGAAGGGCCCAGCCTTTCAGCTGGAGGCACTAAGATTCAAATTAGAACAGAATCTATTGTATCACACCCTTTAGACCTACAATTTAAAGTGGGATCCGAACCACTTGCAAGCTCTGTACATTGCAAAGACACGAGTACGTCATAAGACCTGATGTACCCTGCAGTGTACCTAGTCACAATTTGTGTTTACAAGATGCCGTAAAGAAGTCATTTAGATGCTAGTATATCCTTGTATACTTAGCAAAGGAGGCATATTCTATTCCAAAGACTTCAATACTACATCCAACACACGAACTTCTGGACTCAAACAAATAGTAATTAGGTCCCTCGGGTAACAATCCATCGCTATTCGGTCACTTCGAGTCACTTTCATTCATAATAATTCATAGTATTAACATTTATTGGAATGCTTCTTACTCTGCATTCAAATTATTATAATCAGCAGTAAATTAGTTTATGACTAGCTATTACAGTAATTCTTAGCGTGTGATTTCATGATTATAGACTATAATTTATTCATGGGGTCTAGTGTTTTCATCGTTATTGGCGTGTGACATTAAATATTCTATCGCTGTACTTAACAGTGCTATTGGAACATTGCTTTTGATTATTCGTTGATTTATTTAAAAAATAATAATAATGTGCTTGATTTTATGTGGTGAACTTTAAGGAGGTTTAGGCTGATCATATTAAATTTGAGAAACCAGAAAACATTAACTTCCTCGAATGGCCTAGGTCTGTTAATCGAAGAGAAATCTAATACCAAGTTGGTGTAACTTTGGTATGGTGCTGGATTTAAATTGAAGACATAACCATGCCAGAGTCATGCTGAATTTTTATTCGATTTACCGACTTGTGCTTCTCGAATTCTAATTAGAAACAATTCATTGACAATAATCTAGTAACCATTCCCCAAAAGCTCGCTTAACATTCAAACAAATTAACCAATAAGCAAACCAGAAGAATTTCTAAGCACATAACAAGATAAGACAAGTTATTTGTACGAGATAAATTCTATAGAATAAAAAGAAACACAAGCATCAATAACGAAAAGGATGAAACAGTCAGAAGAGTGTAAAAGCCTTGCATTGTTCGCTTATTCATTTATTTTATTTTCATTTTTCCGCATAATACCTAAATGAATAATGAAATTTTCCTCAAAAATTTACATAATTTTACTCTCATTCTCTCTTTTCTCGTTTCCATGACAGCTTCGCTTGATAAGCTATTCCTCAGCTGATTCATTCATCAAACGTGACTATGTATTAGACGTAATAGATAAAAATTCAAAATTTACGGAGCATCAACATAATGCTGATTTGAGTAGTTATAATTACATTCATTTGACAAGTGCGAATAGTTTAAAAGCATATTCGATGAGTAAGGAAGGAAGCAAGAGATTACTCGTGCAGCATAGACGTGAATATTATAATGATTTTGAAGATTGTTTGCGTGATTTTAAAAATCAGAAAATTAAATCAATTCAAAAGCAGACAAAAGTTCATCATTCGGATGGTGATAATGGTGAAAGTGATTCCGAATATGTCGACTGTACCGACAACAGTTCTGATTTCAAACAACAGTCAACATTATCTTCAAAGTCGTTGCCACATGTCCCTGTGGATGATTATCATGATGATGATAATTTTCGTCGAGAGTCTGAATACTATAAATTTACAACAAAAATGCCAGCAGCATCAAGCGTTTATGTCACTACAACAACAACAAAAACATCAGGAGCAGCAGCAAGGACAATATGTAATGAAATTGAAACCCGCACAAGTGATACAATGGCAACAACTAAAGCACAAAAACCACCACAAATGTTAAAAATTAAATCAAATGATGGAACTCAATTAAACAAAAATTATGATGACTGTGGGAGATTTAAACAAAATGAGAGCACAGAACAATTAAAGGCACATAATAGAAACAATAATAAAAGTAGTAGTAATAGCAACAGTAACAATAATAGCTGTAGTTCTAGTAGTTATAAAAATAATAATCTAAACAATCAAGTAGTTGATAGAAGGACAAGAAGTACTGACAAGGTCGTCAGCGTGAATGAGAAATCAATATCGATTGATGAATCCCCATCAACATCAGCCGTTCCAATTATAGATGATAAAAAAATCAGCAAGAAACCTCAAGTTGTTAGTTTAACACAACAATTACCGCAATTAGTCGATATTTCAACTGTTGAAGTGCGCGTCGTCACGAAACAACCTGCTGCTATTATCAACGATGACGTTAGTGCCACAATAAATGTGAAAAAGGATGATATGAAAAGGAAAAGCTGTAAAAAGAGACAAGCCTCGATAAAAGACCCAACTCAAAGGTAAGAAAAAATTTGTCTTTTCATCTTCCATTTCTTATGTCTTGTTGGATATTTAATTTGAAATTTTTTCTCATATCAACATTCTGACCTTTACTTATTCAATATCTTGATCGGGGAGAATGTCTAGATGTAGTCATAAAAAGCACACAGCACACATACTTTCGCCACAAGATTAAATAAATGGAAAATAATCATATTACTTCAATATTGAGGAACGGAAGAGAGGAAAAAAAATTTTATTCCCTTCCTTTATGCTCATTCTTGTGGAAAATATGGAGTTAGTGATTTATTCTGTCATAATGGCTGGATGCAGGGGCATAGCCAGAAATTTGACGGGGGGGGGGGGGGGGGGGGGGGTTGGCGATATTTTTGTGATTTTCTAATGAAAACCCTAGCAAAATAAAGAAATTTCTGTTTAAGTTGGGGGATTTGTCCCACAGATCCCCCCACCCCCTCCCCTTAGCTACGTTCCTGGCTGGATGATATTGCTGTAGGGTGTCTATTGGCACACTAATGGCTTTTTAGAGCAAAATCGGTAGAAAGAATACAAACATAGCTTCTCCTTGCATTCCAATTTCTGTGAATTCCATGAAATAGTTTCATTGTTTACATTTAAGTTTGATCCAAGTCTATTAAGTATGAAATATTAATTTTCAAATATTTCTTTGTACTCTTATTTTCTTAATGTTTTACTCATCTTAAACTATTTTTCATCCTAAAATGAGTAATTCTAATTAGTTAAACATTACTTTAATGAACGATGCATTGAAAAAATAGAATTTTATAATTTTGAATTTTGTATTTTTTCACGGAATAAATCTCTCCGCTACTTAGTAACATTTTTTAAAGACACATAGAAATTAAAATTGTAGCTTAATTAAGCACTTTTGCGTTAATATAACGCTAGATTTTGGTAGCTTTATTATCAATCTTTGAGTTGTGACAGTCTTTATTATTAACAATCTGCGAAAAGGAAAGAAAAATCACTTTAAGTGAGTCTCCAAATTATTTTTTCTTCGATTGTGTTACTAAGTAACGCCAAAAGAATTGAAATAATTCTTTAATTAAGCACTTTAAGCAAGAAAATTTCAGTCCATTAAGTAGAAAATGATGTTTTAAATGGCCTACGAAAAGTTTATTTGCAGTAGAATAGTCTAAAGATGCAAAAAATCAATTTGGAGAAAAATTTGTAGATAAATCGTTTCATGGAATCGCCCATAAGCTATTTACTGGAACATGAAGAAATACCGTTTTTTTTTCAAAATTTTACCGAAACAAGATAATTAAATTCAAAATATCCGTTAAAAATGCTCAATTGTAAATAAATGTAAACAAACGATTGAAATTGACATGAATAGGAGCTGAATACACCCTTAATTAAAGACAGAAAATGTGAATTCACAATCAGTCAAAAAAGATCAAATTTCTCAGCAACCTTTGACTTTCGATTTTTTCACAATTTTCTTCAGTTTAATTCTTTAAAGACGTGTTTTTCAATATCGTTGCAAATCGGTGCAAATAAATTGGAACTTGACATTATTAATGCTTAAAAAGAAGTGGAGTTCAAGATAAAAGTGATAGTGAAGTGCTAAAATGGAAACAACAGTGAAAATAAGCCAAAAGTGATGAAAAAATTAAAAGTGAAGAAAAAAATGAAAAATTTTCTGAGTGAACATTGAAAGTTAAGAAAATTAAATTCAAGAAGCTGTAAAATTGAAGTGAAAGTGAGATTGATGAAGCTTGAAGGAACCAGGACACAATTAAAGAAGCAAGAGGCTAGTGACAACGAAGAAAAAGCTAAGTATACTGATAAATAGGACATTCAAGGGCGACTTTAATTTAATTGATTTACGTCATCTGAAACACATTCAGATTTTCAAATTCCTTTTCTTTAATGAAACCAGCCATTTGACTTCCTGCAATTGCGTACGTAATGCTTGCAATACGTGAAATGATTACTTAAAAACGCATTGCATTGAGTTTTACATTTCGTCAGCCTTTGTTGATGTAAATTAAGAGTGGGAGTCGTTGAATAGGTCAGAGGGGGGTCGATGCAAGATGAGGAGGGGTAAAACTTGAGGGAGCAAAGTCTTTTGACCCTTTTTTTTAAAAAGTTTTTCTGTTTTTGTTTTTTTTTTGTAAAACGAGCCTATGAGTCATGTGTTTCTGCCTGTGAGACTTGCTATCGTGGCTATTGATTGGTTCATCCTTGATGTAGAGTGGCATCAAGGACATTGATTGCTTGCTCGTAAAAGAGACTTGCAATTTTTTGTCTAGATGCCTGTTCTCACACACAGCATTAGACTTACATCAGGTCCAATGACGTATCGTGTAGTTTAATGTGAAAAATGAGCCTCTGATGATTTGGGTTGTAATCAATAGAAGCTTAATTACAAGCGTCTAACCCTAACCCTAAATTGTGGTTCTTTTTCATGCTCAGGTGTGTGGTAAAGAACGTTTTTGCCTCTATCTCGGACTGTTCTGATTCAAAGCCTGAAATGTGAGCAGTAATGGAATGAAAACACGATTGATTCATTTCCTTGGTTGAAATTAAACTTGATATGATTAACTATGAAAGAAGAACCATCAAAAAATTTGCTTTCTCAGTTTAATCCCTCCTTCATCTTGCATCAGCTTCTCTCTTACCTGTCCATCGACTTCCATCTTTAACTTACATCGAGAAAGAGCGAACGGAACATAGTACTTAATGTTATGTGATTTTACTTAATCATTTTACGTAACGTAGGTTTTACGTGAGCCTTTTTGAAAGTTTTTCTGACTAATTTCCAACAGAGAAAGTGAATTTGATATCATGAAACTTTAGTTTAAACAGCAAATCTTAATTAAGAATTAAATTTATTTTGATTTTACTAATTCGTTTTAAAATTGCCTTATATTTTAGGTTCTTTAAGGAGCAGCACTTATAGCCATCATAAAACATTTCATATGTTGTGTTATTTTCTTCACATTTGAACAATTAATCATCGTTCACACACAAGTAAGCACATAGTATGAATATTTGATACAAATTGGATTTATATAGACTTTTTTAACTGACAAACTACAGAAGAATTGTCTTGACGATGTCTTATTGTCTTGACGATGGTCAATCATAGGGGTTCTAAAATCGTGAATATTCCCGGGAATTCCCGTATTCATACCAAAAAAAAACCGACAATTCAAATTAGTTTTTTTTTTTATTTTGTATTTTCCATGAAAAAAATTACAGAAGTCCTTGTGTTATTGATCGAGAGACTTAAGCGCATTTTTGTGTTAGCGATCAGTATTTGATTATTTAATTATTTTGCGTTCATTTACAGATCATGAGAAGATTAGAAGATCATTAATTTTAGTGTAATTAACAAATAGTTACAATGAATGCTTAAATAGAAAGGATTTATTATTTAACGGTCAAAAAATAATTTGAAATTTTGTCGCTAAAAGTTGCACTATGAAAAGATTAATTATAGTATTATTAAATAACTTGTTCCAATGAATTTCCATACAGAAAAAGTTTATCATTTAACGGTTTTTTAAAATTCAAATTTTACAACGGCTAGAAAAAATTTGAAATTATAGAGGTAAAATAAAATTTGAGCAGGTTACGCTGAAAACAAAAAAAAATTCATTAATTATAGCATAAGTACACTGTTTTAAGACTTTCAACTGTTCGATCGGACAATAAACAATAGTAACGGAGCTAATAAAAAAAACCTGAGCTCTCTACGATGTCTGGTTAAAAAGTTTTTCTTCAGACGAACGAACGAACGAACGAACGAACGAACAAAGTGCATTATTAAGCTCCCTTTTTGTATACAAGTTTACAAAAATGCGCTAAAAACTACAATTTAAAGAAAAAAATTATAATATTGAAAACATACGTTAAGGAATTTAAGAGTTGAATTGTTAAACTCAAATTTGATGTTTTTTAAAATACATTTTAAAAACATATATTTATGAAAAACGAAGAGAAAAAGTATTTAAAAATATTTTTTAAATGTATGATGTCTATAAAATAATAAACTTAATTGACATTGGATTAAAGTAATTTTTCGCAGTAGATTGCTAGACCAGTTGAAATCGTACTTTAAGAATTGTTCTAAAACCAAAAAGAAATGAATTTCAAACGGAAATTATTGTCAAAAGAATCAATTTGACAATCAAATCAAATAGAATTTAAATTTGATGTAAAAACCTAAATAAAATACATGGTGTAAGTGTAGCTTTTAACTTTTTTTTTGTTGATTCCCGAAAATACTCCCGATTCCCGAAATCTTACGGGAACGGGAATTCTGGAACCTCTAGTATGATTGAAATTGAAAAGGAAAGCTTTTACGCTGTTTTTCATATTTAGTAAGGAAGCGAGAATTTTGGTATTTTTTATTTTGGATATTTGATTTTGTCCAATTTCATCAACTTAGTGGAACCGAAATAGAATATTTCTGGCGTTATGTCGTGTTCATGCCAAGCTGGTGCTACATTTTCGGGTATTTTTACTTCGTGTGGCTTTGGGGTATTGTTCTTAAATAAAGGTAGTTGTCAATGGCTGATCATTGATTTTTAGAATAGATTTGATCTTTGTAAGGATTCGAACCAATGTCTCAATAGAATGGGGCTATATATTTCAGTCTGTCACTTAACAACTCAGTCTCAAAGCCCGCTCGTCAAAGCATTAGCAAATTCCCGTTTATATTTCTTAAAACCAGAATAGCATCTCAACGAAGTTATCAATTTAATTTTATTGAATGTAAGACATTAGCTTCCAAATTATATTCCAAAGAACCCTTTACCTCCAAATCGTCTATAAATATTCATAACATTTGCATACTTGAAAATAATCTTCCTTTCATGATTTCCATGTCAACCATAATCTATACCTCCGTTCGAATTCTAAGTATTATGAATAATCGCTGCTATAGAAATTGCGTCATCATATTTCATTCATAAGAATTATTCCATACTTGTTGGTTGCTATCCACATCAAGCAATATTTTTGATCA